GTCGGAGTAGGGGCGCTAGGCAGTACTATTGTACAGGATTACCCCCTAACGTCACACGAATGGGCTATTGTGTACACAGATGCATGCAAAGGCCTCAATTGAATAGCCATTCGGAACCAGTTGAATATAATTTTTTTATGATTTGGGAAAAGCTTGGCTAGGCTTGACTTGTCTTTTTTATTACCACAAGAACATTTAATTTTACCTCAAAATAAGTCATCAACTATTCTTTACATCATTATGATGTTATCAAAATATAAAACAACAAACCAAAAGATTCGACGAAATTTATTTCTTTGTAGATTGTGTTTATCCAGCTTACAAACTCATGGGGCATCGAACTGGGGACATCTGTGGTTTAGTCGAGTAAACACACACAAAGACATGTAAAATTAGAACTAAAGGAAAGTTGAGTGTCAATATGTTTGTGGTACATTTTGAAACGTGTAAACTATTTTCGCAAACGGACTTGATATTTCTTAATTATTAAATAGCATTCCTAAAAACCAATACCCGACGACACCGAGAATGAAAATTTGATCAAAATGCGGCGTGCAGAGGCAACTAATGATTGTGTCTCTTTTGTTGATGTTCATAAAAAATGCAAAACGTCTGCTCGTCAATTTCCTTTCCACACATGAAGCGGCACAAAGACGGATGATTAATGCAAGGGCGGATCCAGAACACAATTTTTTTTGGGGGGGGGGGGCCCAAAAAAATTTTGGTCCCCCAAAAAAGTGGGTCAAAAAAATTACGGCGTGGGGTTCGGGGCCCGCTTAAGGGCCCCGGACAATTTTTGGATTCTAGATGCTCTGTGGTGCGATCTGAGGCAATTTCTGACCACTTTAACCAATGTTTTTTTGAGGAAAAGATGGTGGTGTACTCATTGCCTGCCTTTATTGCGATGTCACATAAAAAAAAAAATTGGTTTCGTTTTTTTTTTTGGGGGGGGGCATGGCCCCCTTTGGCCCCCCCCCCCCGGATCCGCCCTTGGATTAATGATGTCATTAGAGTTGTTTTCATTGAAAAGGTATTGTTGCTTTGATGCAAAGCGTTTGGGTATTATCATCTATGGAGAAGCTGTTAAGTTGGCCGAACATGCAACGCATGATTGTATAGTTTTGGGAATGTGAAAGGTTATTGTTGGTATAATTATATACGTGCTTTTTCAAAATTTCGATTTTTCTTTTCCGAACAAAATGTAAAGAATATAATGTCCTGCAACAAATGCCCCCCCCCCCCCCGGTGCTCCCCATTTAAAATCTTGAAATTAACACAAATTTGTCTTTGTCTTCAGAGCTCAGATTTAATGTTGGCAATAAGAGCTTTTATCAAATCATTTCTCGTAATATATCAGACAAGAGTTTTGCTAATTTTCCGATATTCCAATTTAAGCCGTGAGAGTCGATTTATCTTAAATATGATCTCAATATGATTTAAAGCAAATCTTGAATTTGTAAGTGTCATTTTTAGGCAACCTGTCAATAAAGACATTTTTGTGAATTTATGATTGTTAATGTTTAACGTTAAGTGAATTACTTTTCAACGGGATAAATAGGGGAAAACAAGGCAGAGGTGTGATTTCCTACGAAGCTTGGGGGAGTAATTTAAAACAAGTTGAAAATAAAAAGAAACCACAAATCAACTTCGACCCAGATCAAATCAATACCCTACAGTTTATCTCTTGTTCCTCTGCCAGTTTATTGTTCATATAAGAACGGGTGGGGAAAACCTCAAATGCACCGACGAACAAGAAAGAATCCACGACAGTGCTTTAACAACGGGATATCCATGCAGAACTTGATTTTTGCATGTCATCATCTCCTCATCGTAAGTCGACTTGGCGAGATAATTTATCTCCACAAGTTGTCATCTCGACTTCAGGAAGTCGACTTAGTGAGATATTTCATCTGGACAAGTCGTCATCTCGACTTCGAGAAGTCAACTTGGCGAGATAATACATCTGGACAAGTCGTCATCTCGACTTCGGAAAGTCGACTTGACGAAATAATACATCTGGACAAGTCGTCATGTCGACTTATTGAAGTCGACTTGGAGAGATAATGCATCTGGACAAGTCACCAAGTCGACTTCGGTAAGTTGACTTGGTGAGATAATGCATCTGGACAAGTCGTCAAGTCGACTTCGGTAAGTCGACTTAGCGATACAATTATGTGATTAAGTCGCCTTACTCTCGGCGATATGTCAACATGACGTGATAAATTATCTGAGTAAATAAGGAAGTGGATGGCACTCATGGAGCGCCGTATCTACGCAATGCCTGCCTCTGTCACTTAAAAAAAAAAAACGGGTTCGTTTTAGTGGGGCCATGGCCCCGTCTGCGCCCCCCCCCCCCGCCCCCGATCCGCCCTTGACCTTAAAAGCGGAAATAAAGATAAATATATTCGATTGAATCGTGTTAATCGAGCAGCGAAACGTTCGCTGAACAGACCTTTCGAGAAAAGTAATTTAACAGAAGAAAGACAATGTAAAAAAAAAGATCACAGAGTTCCATATATTTTTTCAATATTGATATAGTAATAGAAAAACAATCTCAAGAAATGGTAAATTTAGGCTTTGAATCCCCCTCTCCCGATCCCTCCAGTCTTAGGTAATGTTACGGGTTTGAATACACTTGCAACCTCTTTACCTGTTCCCATTTATTTTTAATGAGCAAAAAGTTAACAATTTAAAGGAACAAACTTCAAAGTTTGCTGGGGGGGGGGGCAAACAAATCCTAACAGTTTGCTCCTTAGAAAAAAACAATCAAAGTGTTGACGCCTATCTTTTGCAGTTTTCGACATATAGTTGAAAATTAGGGTGTAAAATTCAATTAGGGTGTTGGCGACGTGTTGCTCTGCACGATTTTGTTCAAACTTCAGTTGATCCTTCCAGTCCATCCTCATCAGGCAATGTCACATTGGAACAGCTACCTTTGATTCGAAGCCTGCACATTCTGAGGAACACTCCAAACCTTGTTTTGTCACTGTGTGTTGCATCCCATCGTGCAGCTACATCGGATTACTACAAGCAGCTCCCTGGCCGGGTGCTGGATTGAACTGGCATCAGCCGCGCTGCAAACTTAACACGCGGCAGTCACTTTATCCCCTCTCATCAGCTCGATTTTATTGAAACTTTCTTTTACGTTGGATTACAGCTCTTGCAGTGAAATTCAGTATGGACACTTTGGTCTACCCTGACACTAATAATAAGTGAATCTTCCCGTGCTTCCGGGCCGCTTGCCGCACTTTTTGTCCATGGCATACCTTTTCTGTTAAAGGGAAAATACAACATCTGCAAACATCAAAAAATAAAACTACCAAATCATTTTGAAATACCTTGCTGGACTGTTAGTGAGTGACAGTGTGAAGCATCCTGTAAAATCATGGCACCTGGTATACTGTCATTTTCAAGAAAAGTGCTATTTTTGTACCAATTTTGGAAAAACCTGTTTTTTTTCAAATACTGGCCCCAATTGACCATCGCACTTGTTTGCAATCGATTACACACACTATGAATGGGTACAAGCGAGCTAGACTGGTTCCCTGACCTTACAATTCCCCAATGTATGTAAACTGCTCTGCTTCTTCTTCAATGGAGTCAGGGAACCAGACTACAGGAAAATGATTGTTTTTCTTGGTTTTTATAGCATTTTCGATCCCAAAACCTCAAAAAGTCAGTGTAACATTATTTGCTATATATTTCCAACCCCCCAATTCCATCCATTTCTGAAAATTACAGCAAAAGCAAATGATGTATATTCCCTTTAACAGCAGTACGTGTATTCATCATCTATCGCTATGTGCGCATTAACACGCACACTACCGCTACATGCATTGCTGCCCGGCCTTGCAACGGTGTGAAATTCTGATTAAGAACAGATAATATTCCCGTCAAAGGCCTAAATATTAACCAAATCACACAAAATACTGCTTTCAAGAAGACTCTTCGTGTGACATGCTTGTTTTTGCTTTTGCAAAATACAATGAGCTATAAAGGCATGACACTAGTCTGGGGTAAAGACGTTGTTGTAGCTATATGCGATAACCCGCCGCCGCAGCAGCGATAGAGTGCGATATCCAGAGTGCGATATCACAACGAACCGCCATTACACATAAACCGCCTGCAAAAACGCATTGGAAATCGAGTATATCTCCCCTGAAAAAATATAAAAATAAAAAGTCATGCATGGTTAATAAAAAAAAGTGGTGTTTTGAATAGTTAATCCACTTATTATCTATAAATAGGATACGTAAAATTCATTGACCCCTTGAAGGCCACCCGAGGTCAGATATGAAATTCCCTACATATGAAATCCTTTTATAGCATGAGTCACTTAACAATATGACTTGGGGCTCTTCATTTCCATACAGTTCAGAGGCAAGGATATTTGTAAAAAAAAAAATAAGAAAAAAAGAATGTTAGTGTCCAACTCATTGCAGGTCCCATGACATGGTGCCTCGGTCTTCTCAATAATGCATTGACACATATTGCTTTTCATTGCATGGCAATATAGGGGTGCTATGCATAAGAATTTGTCAGAGTTGCAGGGGTGAACAACGTGCATTCCATTGTCACTCACATTAGTATGGTACTGGAGGCATATGCATTGACATTGCTGGTAGCGAAACGGTTACAGTTGCTCTCCATGTGCAGCTGTTTCCGCATTCCACCACGATTTGTTTTGTTTTATAAGAATTGCTATTTTTTTAAGTTCTAACAAAGTTCTTCGTGTTTGGATTAGACATCAGAGGCTTGCACAGAGACACTCCCAAAGAGGTGAAAATTGTCCCTGTTAAAATAAAACATAATCATTGAAATTTACTTTCTGAAGAGCAACGGCAAAGCAAAAATAAGCAACATCTTACAGTACCAACAGTGCAAATTAGTAACACACTGCACTATACTCGTTTACATTAGGCTGCCTTTTTCATCAATGTCCTCACCATGACTATGATAATTTATTGTCATTCTTTTGCTCCTTTCAGTGATGGACAGAAGAAGCCTTCCAACATATGCAACAGATTTCATGAACACCAGCCGGGAACATGAGAAAGAGTCTTTTCATCCTCATCGAATCGTCATCATCGGCTCCGGACCTACAGCTCTGGGTGCTGCTAAAAGACTCTACGATCTCGGGCAAGGAAAAAACAACAGCGTGATCACCATCCTAGAAGAGCTAGGCAAACCAGGAGGCCTAGCCTCGTCTGTCAGGGATGATAAAGGCTTTCTCTGGGACGTCGGAGTTCATGTCGTATTCTCCCATTACACCTACTTTGATCGAGTCCTGAACATGGCAGTACCCGAGTGGAACTACCGACGCAGGGCGTCATTTGCCTTCATGAAAGGATCAGATGACACGAGGAGGTTCATTCCTTATCCAGTTCAGAACAACATCCACGTCATGGATAAAATTTATCAGCAGAAAAGCCTGAAAGGCTTAGAGGAGATTACCAAAAATCCCAGCACCCGTAAACCCAAAAATTTCGACGAGTGGCTGCTGCAGAAATTTGGAGAGGGTCTCGCTAACGTCTTTATGAGGAAATACAACCGGAAAATCTGGACAGTTGACACCAAAGAAATGAACTCGGCCTGGGTTGGAGAGAGGGTTGCCGTACCAGACATTAAAGAGATTAAGACCAAGATTGCAGAGGTGGACAACGGGACAGACGCCAAGGATTCCGAATGGGGACCGAACCGTTTCTTTCGTTTCCCCAAATATAATGGGACTGGCGGAATTTGGGAGTCAGTTGCGAGAATGCTTCCAAGCCACTGGTTCAGATTTTACGAAAAGGTAACTGCAATTGATATTGACCGAAAAATCATCACCGTCGAGACTGGAACTGGCGTTAAGGCATCACATTACTCATTAGCATACGATACCTTAATATCAACGGCGCCCTTAGATGTTTTTACATCATTGTTGCGAAGCCACGATGTTTCCCTATGGCAGATGCAAGAGCTAGCATCACAGCTGGTGTACACGCACACTCACATCGTAGGCGTCGGCCTCACCGGTCAACTACCAAGGATCCTCGCTGATAAATCGTGGGTGTATTTCCCGGATTCTGATTCTCCTTTCTACCGTGTGACAATGTTCTCCAATTATTCGGATGACCATGTACCAAATCCTGGAGCATACTGGTCGCTTATGTGCGAGATAGCCGAACCACAGAAAAGTTCTAATCCAGCGTATTGGAGTAAAGAAAACCTGATAAAAGAATCCATTCAAGCCTTAGTCTTGTACGGGTTTATCACTGCTGATATGGTAGTCTCCAAGCACTACCGTCGATTGGACCACGGATACCCCGTCCCTTCACTTAAAAGGGATACGATCCTTGACACCATACAACCTTGGCTGAAAACCAAAGACATCTACTCCCGTGGACGGTTCGGAGGTTGGAAATACGAGGTTGCCAATCAAGATCATTCCTTCATGCAAGGGGTCGAGGCCGTGGACAAGTTCCTTAGCAACGTTCCGGAGTTAACCTACCCGGATCCGAATCGGGCCAACTCCAAGAAAAACACGGATCGCACCATACCTTTGGATTATGAATTCGCCATCGCACATTATAACGAGAATCTTGATTGGATAAAGCCTCACGCCAACCACACCCTCATCTACCATCAAGGGAACGACCTGGGTCCACCATTCCAGTTCTACGGTTGGGAGCGGCTGGAGAACCTTGGACGCGAAGCTCACGCTTATCTTGTCCACATTACCACCTACTACGACCAACTCGCTAACGTCACTGTCTTTGCTCAGGGAGACAATATGCAAGGACGATGCTACAAAAATATAATGCAGTTTATCGATTCTGCAAAAAAAGGTGTCCCTTGCATTTTGTATCCAAAGGTTTACAAACTTTGGGGGAATATCCCATTCTCTCGTCGTTATTTGGCTCGTTTTAAGACGCACAAATTAGACATAGCAAATGGGACTTTAGGGCAGATGTACCAAGATCTGTACGGTCAGCCACCACCCAAAGCAATGTGGGTCTGCTTTAACGGCTGTTTTGCGGCTACCAAGCAACAAATCCTAAGACATCCACTAGAATTCTATCAGAAGGCTCTAGCCTATGTGAGCAAAAGTCCAAACCAGGAAGAGAGTAATTATTTAGAGAGATTGTGGTATCACTTCTTCGAAGAAGTTAATAAACCTATATAGTACAGGCAATATAAGGTTTGGCCTCAAACAAATTGCAACATAATTTTTTTCACCACAGTGCATTTGTATAAGATCCCTAAAATGACATACTAAAAGTCGAAAGAAATCCAGGTGGTGGAAGTATGCCTAATTTGCATAAATCCAAAATGGCCTTATATGTTAGGACTTTCGCATTGATTTGGTCATATTTCTCATACTAGGTAGATTTTTGAGGTACTTTAAACGACAGTTTGAGTCCTTTTACATTAATTTACTCATTATTCTAGTCCTAGGTAAATTTCAAGATCCCTATGTTTCCGAAATTTTCCAAATGTCGTATAATTATTTTGCATAAATGCCATACTGTATCTCAATTTACCTAAATTAAATTAAAATAATGGATGTCATGTGTGGAAATGTACCAATTGAATTTTCCCTGATAATCCAAATCAAATTTCACAACACAGTGCATTGCTATACGGTCCCTAAAAAGTTGTTAAAAAAGCCATTTTGAAATATCCAAGATGGCTGCCGTCCATTTGGAGTACATCGTAAACAATAATGTACTCGAGTTCCTTTGTATCAAAAACATGGGGTTTGCCATCAAAATGAACTTTATGTGACAATCAGGTCCGAAGTTACATGATACAAATTAGGCTCGAAATGGCGGCCGTTTTTAAATCCAAGATGGCCGCCACATGGTAGCTGGGAAAAAAGTCTCCAATGCATATCCGATCGACTTAGATAGGTAAACTCTTTCCAAATATGGCAAAAATTCCTTCTTAAACAAAAAAAATGCAGAAGTACATAACGGCCAATACTATATGGCCAAATCATACGAAAATCATGTAATTAGCGGCTTTTTGAATTTATGCAAATTAGGCATATTTACACCACTTGGATTTCTTCCCTTTTTTAAGAAACCTTATAGCAATGCACCATGGTGTGAAATTTATCTTAGACTGAACTTAGATTACCAGGAGAAATTTAATTGTGTCGGACATGTCCACACATGACAGCCATAATTCGAACTTTAATTTATGTAAATTAATAAATGACATTTACGCACATTATCATCGGCATATCGCAATTTTGGGACACATCGGGATATTGAAAGTTACCAAGGTCTGGAATAATGAGTAAATCAATGTAAAAGGACTACAAACGTTGTTTAAAATACCTCAAAAAGCTACCCAGTATATGAAATATGACCAAATCAGTGCGAAAGTCCTAAAATATGCGGCCATTTTGGATTTATGCAAATTAGGCTTATTTCCACCACCTGGATTTCTTAAGACTTTTAGTAGGTCATTTTAGGGACCTTACAGAAATGCACTGTGGTTGACAATTTTTTTGTTGCAATTTGTTTGAGGTTCACTCAAAAAATGAAGTATTTTGCCTGTACTAATATTGGCGTCCACGCCGCACATAATTATGAACAACTAGGCGCGCATCTGCTCATGGAGCTCCGTGACCCTACGCTCAGCGCATAAAAATCACACGAAAACATGCAGAGCCCTCATTGCAAACTTTTGTCAGTAAAAAGAAAGTACGTCTATGCATGTTTCTCACCAACTCGCTACGCATTTGAAAGTTCAGAGCATTACCTATATAGATTGGTTATTTTTAACAAATATTTGATGCACGGGACAAGGGGGCTTTTTTTTTACTCCAAAAAACGGGTGTAAAACATCAAAATCGGCAAAGTCAATGGAGGTCAACACGATTATTGATCATTTTCTGGTGGGTAATTGTCTCACTAAACTGAACGGCAAAGTCGTTCTCTTTGTCCCACAGACTCAACTCGCACTTCTGAATAAACAACATGAAATTTTCCTTTCCACTCATATAATAATCATTTTGATTGGAAGAGTGGACGAATTATCATGGAATGTCTCTCTTCTAGACCATGACCCGATTTTTAATATGCAACGTGTCTCTGTAGTCTGGCTCCATGCATAATAACCACGCGTGTATTGTTAGGTTGAACGGGGAACAAGGTCATGCCACGCGTTCGTCTCGCCGACAATTATTAGAAGCACCGTTGGAAAACTGTTCGTTCCGCCTCTCGATAGTTCGTTTTTCACCAATTCAACGTCTTAAAACTGCATTTTTCAGTGCATGAATATACCTTCATACCATAGGCTTTCTGTTAATTTTATAACATTCTCTGGATATCGGCAAAACGAGTCTTTTTGCAGTTCATGTTTGTCGTACCTTAGCATATTAGTCGCTAGAGGGGTGTATTTGTGCATGGTTTATGTTATCTCGCCCATCCACCTTCATAGTACAGTTTATACGTATCACATTAATAAATGGTTTGCTTATCAAATCTTGTATTCACACAATTGTTAATGTGCTGAAGAAAACATGAGTACTTTTACATTAAAACTTCATTTAGCTGAACAATGTTTAACTCCAAAACGTGTACTACTGTACATGTATATACTGTGTACAGTAGCTACAGAATCCCCCATTGTGTGAAATGGTCCGGTCCATTTGACCTGTTACGCAAAGAATGTGTGGGCAGGGTGACCGTTTTAGCCGATTTTCGGCTAATTTTGACAGATTTTTTTTGTTAAAAAACGAGTTTGACAGAAAATTTGACAGAAAGGATATTTTTTGGCAGATTTCTGGCAGAATTCTGCAAAAATGGTTATTAACAGAAAACCATAGCAAATTTGAAAAAAATGGTAGATTTGTTTAAAACATCTTCGATCTTTTCAAACAAACCCTTGCATAATGGGACAGGTTGGCTGGTCTAGGCGCTGGGAACCTGACTTCATGCCGCAACCGCGTTTTGCCTGAAATTTACCCAATAATTTCATTACAACTTTATGTGACTATAAATGGATAATAATGTAATGTGAACCTTAATTAAGGCAGTGCTACAAATCTGAATGTGATTTTAAGGAGTTTTAGTGTATTTCGCGGAAATCTGTGGAATTTGGCAGATTTTTTGATAAATCTGACAGATTTTTGACAGATCTGACAGATTTAATGGATTTTTATAACAGAAGAAAAATCATTTATCCCAGCCACTTGATTTTTGACTCGCACTTTTATTACGTTTCAAAGTGACTGATATTCAAAACACATAATTATTAAAAGAAACAACTCAGTTTCAGCTTTGTCCTGTTTTTACTTGTTTATCTATGATGCATAATAAACGTGAGTTAGTTTCGAGCCTAATAATTAGAGATTCAAGGGACAGCGTTTCATTTTACTTTTTGTTTAAACATATTTTGTTTAATTTCTGGGTTTGCTTGATATTGTAGTTTTTTTTTACCGTTTGCGTTGAGTGCTTATTTGTTTTGTTTTTTCATTTTTCATACTTTTATAACGAGCTTTTCAATCTTTTCAGTTTGCCAGCGATTTTAGTGTTTTATCATGTTTAGTATTTTTTAAATTTTGAAACTCAATTCAAATGGGCAGCTGAATATTCAAAGCCTAAAAATTGTAAAAAAAAAAAAAGTGATATCAAAGCCTTTTTGGCATTTTACTAAATAAGAAAGTATATTTTGAAATGGCGCCAGTTATCCTAAAGCGTATCCATGAACTTTGAATATTGTTTGATGTTTGTGTTGGGGTATGCAAATTGTATTTAATGGTTTCGATTGTGTTTTTCTGGGGGTTATATTTTATTTGTTTTTTCTTGCACACAGTACAATTTGTTTATATTTGTATCAGTGATTTAGATTGAATTGTCTTTATTCGCTTTTACTTGTGTAAAGTCTTAGAGTGATTGAAATTGAATTATTAATTTTTATTTAATTTTATTTGCAGTTTTTTTTTTTAAACAAGGAGGCCTCCTCAGTTTAAAACTACTTTCCTTGTATTAAAAGAAAACCAATTTTGTTTGCTATTGGTTACATGTTCATGAACGGGTGCAGGCCAGCTAGACTGGTTCCCTTACCTTACAATTTTCCGACATCTATAAATTGATCCATTTTATCTTTAGTGGAGTCAGGAAACCAGACTACGTAAACAATTTTTCTTTTTCTTGGGTTTTCAAGCATTTTCGAACACAAAACTTCAAACATGTCACTTAAACAATATTTGATCTATTATACTAACCCCTCAAATAGTTCATTTCTGAAAATTACAGCAAAAGCCAATGATGTACATTCCCTTTAAGCAAATAAACAAAGCAATAAAAAGCATGTACAATTATATCAAAAATTTGTTGGGCAATTTCACCTCACAAATGGATATAATTTTCAGTTGGCTAAAACAACATGTTCAGCAACGTTGGTCAAATCATAATTTCTATGATTTGGGCAAACGTTGTCCGTTAATTGGGTATCTATTTGATGGTTTGATAAACTTACTAAAATGTTGAGCAAAATACCTTTTATTGGCATGTTTATGGGAATAAACAATTAAGGGAATGTTTATGAGCAGGTAAAGATTAAAAGGAATTAACATTGGTAATTTTTAGCAGTATTTTTATTGCTGTTTTAGCGTGTAACTGTTCATATATATTAAGGTATGTTTTATCCTTGTGTATTTTTATATCCTAGTGTACTATTATGTTTGTATGTTTAATGTTCGTTTTAATGAATGGGTTCGTTTTTTACTATTTTGAGACTGAAAGCCTGTGGGCAATAGTGATTAGGTTCATTTTCATTTCAGTCATTATGTTTTGTATTGGGTTTTTCTGTTGCGGTGACAAATAAATAATAATAATATAAAAAATCTAAACTTTTCGGTCCAAAAACCCGATTTTGTTCAACAAGTTTACTTCATGTTTTTTTTTAAACACCCCTCTAGCTAAATAATGGAGTGTCCAGCCGGCGAGTAAGCTGTAAACAACTCCTTAATTATTATGGAGATTGGCGCGCAGAATGCACCTGGGGCGTAGCGTTGTGAATTTAGAGCTATACAATTTTGACTCACTGGTAGTATTGCGCATGTGAACGTTTAACCAATAAAACGGTAATAGTGAGGTACATTAGTAACAAAAATGCTAAGGATCGTTACACAGTAGACAAAAGCACCATTTTTTCACCAAAGCATCTCCATGGTATACCTTTTCGAAAAAAAGACGGACGCAAAAAATTGGATGATGGAAAGGGCATGTATGATGTC